ACTCTCACCACTGGTCCTGAAGGGATCATCTGTCCTGGATTCCCTGTGTTTCCAGTTCCTATCTGTACCAGTGTACATCCTCTGGTCTAGCCAGATTTATAAGGTAGAATTGGGATCAGGATACTGGATGGGAAAAGGGAGGAAGCATTTAGGAACTAGAGGAAAGTTGTATGTTTCATTGTTGCTACACTGCACCCTGATTGGCTCATCTCCTCCCCACGAACCTCATCTTTCTCTGTCTTTAAAAACTTTTAATGTGAAAGTTCACAGTGCAAATTAGTTTTCCATTCAACAATTTGAACCCATTTTGTTTCATGACATTGACTGCAATGTGATGGGACTTTTCCCACTTCCTCCTTGTTCTTCCCATTTCCATCCATTCTTCTTTCCTAGCCCTTCCTGAGCTTTATCCCTGGGCACATGCTGCCCTTCTGGTCTTGTGTGGCTGATGGTTCTAAGCAGTGTATGTTGCTCTTCATCTTATAGACCAGCCTATGGTTTGGCTGAAAGTTGAGCTTGGGGGTGAATTCAATTCTAAGGCCATGGGGTTACTAATGGATTGGTGTCAGGAGTTCTAGCAATCTCTATCAGATGAGTAAGCCTGTTGTTGCTGTGGTTTTCTTAACATATTTTGGTTTTGTTCCACCCTTTTTATCCAATTCCCACCAGGACCTTCTATTAAGATCTCTTTCAGACGGCGTTAGGCAGTAATAGCTGGCCACCTTCTAGTTCTTCTCACAGCCACACTGAAGTTTGTTTGGAGGAAATTCTGCTCATTATAGACAAAGGAAAAGAGGGGTGGGAAACAAAGACACGCCCACAGTGCTATGTCTGCTCAAGAACAATAGATGGCCACACGCACCTATTACTAAACGTTTTCTATACCTCCACACCTACTCACAATGATTCTCAATGTAAGTTTTAGGATCATTACAGCCATGAAGGGTCCAATAGGCTGGAATGAAAGGACAAAGAAAGACAACTCATTTTCCCTACATGGTCTAGTTCTGAGGACACTTTTAAATCAAGCTGTACTAAAGGCAAGACACAAGGTTCCAGCAACTGCTGGAATACCACAAGTGACGTTTTAACAAACACAGTGCTGCAGGTGCTCATTCATCTAGGCCAAGACATTTGAACAATAGATGCCTGGCAAGCTAAGTGAAAGAGATCTATATTGTGCCAATTCCAAAGAAAGGTTATCCAACAGTATTAAAATGATTGAGCGATATTATTAATATTAAATGCAAATACAATTTTTGCTGAGGATAA